TTTGGAAACAAACAACAAAAATAAGATATCTCCTGTCCTCACTTTTTCATTTGCTCGTTCCCTGGATACAGTTTATTCGTGGCAATGAAATACACATTGTGTCTCTGGAGTTAGATCCAGCAGCAACATCTTTACCACCCCCTAACCTTGGCTTTTTTTTCTTCCTTTTTTTTTTCTTCTTTTCTTTTCCTGATTTCCTATTTAAGCCTTTACAAAAGACATCTTGTTTAACATTATCTGCTCCTTTGGAAGTCAGGCTGCCCTCTAAAGCCTATCATATCAAGGCTTGCTATTGATTTAAACAATGTTTTTTTTACTGGAAAAAGTTTAGGAAACTGGAAGTTTTGTAAAAAATTCTGTATCTGAACTGACAGGAGGATCTGTTGGCCAAATAATGACTCTGTTTGCAGGGAAAAGGAAAAACTTCTTTTAAATCTTTCATAGTGAAGAAAATCCTGTAGATACAAAAACTGCTAAAAAGAAATAAAACTGCAGTTGAGGAACAGACAATAAACATTTCAGATTGCTTTATGGTGCACTATTACAGGCAACTATCTTGCTTAAGTAGGCATAACATTTTTCACAGTATATATTTAAGGTTTTTTTATGGGGTAGATTAACAGCAGGGATACATAGCTCTTAAAGGGAGGGCAGAAATAATTTCTGCCACTCCAGTGGCCTGATAGGTCACAAAAAACCTTCTGAAAATGGCCAGAAAAATGCACTGCATGGTCAAGCAGGAGCAGCCTCCAGCCCACCCTGATGCTCATGTTGGGCTGCACACTGAGCCCATGAACAGCAGAAGCCAGGAGTGACCCCTGGGACCAGCTCTGGCCCTGCAGGCTCTGGGGAGGCTGCACTGGGTTCCCAGAGTGTTGCTGGAACACCTGTGGAAGATGCAGCTCATCAGACTGGCGAGAGCAGCACTGGGAAGGGGTTCCTGCTGTGAGACATTGCTCCTCTCCCAGCACCAGCACTCTTGGAGCAGCCACGAGCCCACTGGCAGCAGCCCCTGGCTCCTGCTGCCAGTCAGCCTGCCTTCCTCAGCACACACCAGATATCAGACTGCCTGGGCCACCACAGCCCCTGGTGGACCTCATCCGTGCTGCAGAGTGGCTCTGGAGGACAGGGAGCCATGCAGTGACATCCCCCTGCAGGGTGACATCCCCCTGCAGGCTGCCAACCCCGCTGGACCCAACAATGCAAGGGAGAATAACGGGGAAAGAGCAGCACTGGGCTGGATTCCCCTTGGCTTCATGAAAATCAGTGATGTCCCTCAGTTCTGGGTTCTCCAGAGATCTCCTGGCTGTGCACAAAGCCGAGCTCAGAGAGGCAGGATCTGGCCAGGTTCTCAGCACCTCTCCCTTGCCCCTGCCTCCATGCGCTGATGGGGAGGGCTTGCCTGTTCACAGAGCCCCAGAAAGGCGTGGAAAGCACCTTAAAGTCCATCTCATTCCACACCCTGCCATAGTCAGGGACACCTTCCACCATCCCAAGTTGCTTCAAGCCCTGTCCAACCCGGCCTTGGACACTTCCAGGGATCCAGGAGCAGCCACAGCTGCTCTGGGCACCCTGTGCCAGGGCCTCTCCACCCAACAATTCCTTTCTAACATCTAATCTAACCCTGCCTCTGTCAGTTTAAAACCATTCCCATTTGTCCCATCACTCCATGCCCATGTGAAAAGTGGCTCTCCAAATATTTAGCTAATTTTTTAACAGTCCAAAGGAAATGAGAGAAAACTGATTTTTATTATTCCCCACGGAGTAACAACTTGCTCTGTTCCCCAGTTTACTTTTACCTCCTTGGAAACACACACTATTTACTCCAGATGCTCCCACCAGTGGCTGGGTCCTCATGGGACCTCCTTCACCTTCCCTGGAATTGACAGAGTTTCCACAGAAGCGCTGATCTTTTTGTAAATTATGTGCACTGAACTAGGCAATTTAACAGCTCATTCCCCCAGGTAGCCAGTGACCACTGAATGCCTATCTACTTAATTTGACAATTAATCTTTGGAAGGCTGGTAGTCATTTTAGATTCACTTTTTTATCTTAAGAAATCAGTAAGCAACTTCCTTCTGGTGAATTTTTCTTTTTATTTTTTAGTTTTTCCACATATTTCCAGTGGTCATCTTGTCTACTAAATTTGTTCATCCTTTTCCATGCATCACTTTGGGAATCAGAGGTGGGGGGAGGAGGGAGACTTGCTAAGAAATTAGAAAACATTTTGCATTTTTTAAGTAGGTAAGATTAAGTGTTTGTGCCATAGTTTACAATTATAATAAAATAAATCTAGAAACTATTTCATGTATGAGAGCATGTGCATTAGAAAACATATTTCTGTAACAGATAACCATCTTCTGAACACTAGAATGTTGGTAATTTGTCAGTTTTTCTTTTAATTAAAACTGTGTATATAGTTCATGCTCTGTTTGATTCAGTGTCAACATTTTGGATGGGGGCTAAAACTGATTTCCTCTTAAATCTTTGCATTTCTCAGGACAACTGATGAAGTGTGCCCCAACATTAAGCTCATGAACCCGTGAGGTTTTGCCTGTTTCAAGATCAGTAAATCAGCAGATATTAGAGCAACAGCCCTGATAAGACTCAAGACTTCTAACACTTCTGTAAATGCTCTCTTTACCAAAACTGCATCCATTTTTCCTCTCAGACAACCTGTTTTAATTCATTGCATCATAACCAAGCTGGTCCACTGTAAAATGAATTAAAATTATGCTAGTTAGGAATTCAATTCTCAATGTGTTTCTCAATGCAACCCATGAAATGTTTAAAGTGTTTAATTTTTATTTTTTTTTTCATAACAACAGAAAAATCTGCCTGGTGTTTCTCTTAATAATTAAAAACAGTATTTTCTTTTTTTTTTTTAATTTTCAGTCTTCCTTTCTGAAAATGTGAAAACTTGCATGGTCTGGGTTAGAATAGACCTTTTAAATTATCCAGTTCCACGCCCTGCCACGGGCAGGGACATCTTGCAGTGGACCAGTTTGCTCCAATCCCCATCCAACCTGGCCTTGGACATTTCTGGGGATCCAGGAGCAGCCACAGCTTCTTTTTTCCATAAATCCAACCTAAATTCTCCTCTTTCAGTTTGAACCCAGCACTCCTTGTCCTGTCACTACATTCCTGATGAAAAGTCCCAGATCAGTGTGAGTCTGGAGCCCAGCCCTCCTGACTGTCACACACAGAGTGGAAATAACCACCACATTTCCTAAAAACACACACATATCACCACATTTACCTCCAAGTCCCAGTTCCTTCTACCTTGCCTTTTTAAATAAATACTCATGGCACTCAATAAAATTAAAACATCAGTGAACAAAACAGATCCATATGAATTTTCCCCCAGGGATTAGGAATGGAGAGGAAACACATCTGGCACAGGAGAGTCGTGTTGCTAACTGTGCTCTCTGATAGGTGAGTACAGTGATAATCTCATTTATCTGCAATGTACCTGAATGCTTCATGGATCAAAACCTGGGAAAGGCAAAGGAAAAAGTCTGAAAGGAAAAAGCCCACTCAAAAAAGATGGCAACTTCCAGATGTGATCACCATGGCAGTGAGGTGCTGGATCCCCTGGGAATTACCTCAAGACAAACACGGTGAGAATTATTTTGGAGAGGATGTGAAGAAAAGCACACCATGAGAAAGAGGAGCAGATGCATCTCTCAAGCTCAGTATTCCTCATGCCTCTAACTTCACATGCCCTTTTACTAATTTTTCTACACTGATAATCTATAGAACCTAATTACACAAAGTCTAAAAAAGCTCCTTCTACGAAAGGCATAATGCTGATATCTGAGTCACGAGCACAGTTAATGTAATCTAACACATATTGCGGGAACCTACTGCACACAGATATTACCAATTAGCACATGATTTTAACAATCAACATTCATGCAATTAATAGAACACTTCATATTCCTTCTAATTTTGAGCTCTGCATGAGCATATGTTATCATGACGGAATGTGGGATCATTTATTTATACTGGAAGCAAGGCACCACATAGAAATCAGAAAGGCTGAAAGTTAGCCTGGAAGTGAAATAGGCTCAGCTTTGCATTCAGGAAAGAATATTATTAGTCTTATTTCAAAAAGTTGAACCTTTACCTTACCTTCTTGTTGATCCTTGCTGTTGATGATCTTCTGGAGAGGAAACTGTATCCTGATTACAGCTGGGGAATACAACAATGTGTTCATCAACAAGCACTTCTCTCCAAAATTGAAAACTAAAACATAATCATCACTCAAAAAAAAAAAAAGTCTTGCTAAGATATATATAAAAATATATGGATATCTATAGATATAGATATTCAAAGATAACAATAGACACCTTGTTTTCCACAAATATGTACTATTTTTCTTTACTGTGAATGCGAAAGAATCACAATACTTATAGGACAGTTGAGGCATACAGAGATTAAAACCAGATCCCCACAGCATTTATCCACTCACTCACTTTGAATGCCATAGAATTTAGGCATTTGATACGTTTAGGATCCAGTCCTGTCTATTTCTCTGGCAGCAGAGGAAGCAGGGAACCAAATACCTGATTCCCAGAGAGGTTGCCAGCCTACCTTACCTGTCTCTCTCCTTTATCCTTGGTGCTGACATCAGTAAGAAGCAATGAAACTTAACTTTAATTACTCAAGTCCTCAATGTGTTACTGGCTCATTAAGGAGATGAGATGTTCAGTAAAGAAGGTGGTTTTTGCATGCAGGCTGCAAGGACTGACACTGCACTGCTGAAGTGGCTGGAGCTGCTGCCTTCCCTGTCTGGTTCTGAGAAGGAGAACATCAAATCACAGGAACTGTGAGAGCTTTTGCTCCAGAACTTCACATCCCCAGCTGCCTGGTTACAGAGATGTCCCTCCCGTGGTTCCTGCTGCTGAAGACATTCCAGCAGGCCTCCCCAGCCAAGCCCACCCTTCAGGAACTCCTCCTGGCAGCTTGGGCACACACCTGTGCCCCACCACACTGACCTTCAGCTCAGTTCAGGAAGATCCCTCCTCTGATCCTGCTCTCAAGAGCTGCTGTCACCAGGGAGTTCCTTTCCACCTGCAATGGAAGGTGGTGGCTGTCCCCTCTTTACCTTCCCAGTGGGTTAGGAACAGCATTGGATCCCCCTGGGCTTCTGCTTTGGGAAGAGCTCCAAGCCCAGCGTGAGGAGGCTGGTGGTGCAGGGAATTCTCCCCAGCAGCAGGCACCAAAGCAGCTCAGAATGCAGATGTAGACTCCAAATAATTGTATTTGCCTCTTTTGGGACAAGCTCCTGGGAGAATTTGGTTTACCAAACATCTGATGTGTGTTTATCAACAGGAGAAAGGCAGCCTTTCTCTGGGTATAACTGTATTTCTAAAAAATGTCATTCTTATATCTCCCATTACTGTCTCCCCTCATTGAGAGGGCCTTCACAGAAACATCACTTTTGGGGCTGCTGCTGTTTGAAACAAGAACAGATTAGAGCAATCTACAGGTTGATAAAGAAAAGAGAGATTTCACCTGTGGCTACACCTCTCATGTTTATCTCAAGGGCTCTCCAACCCAGAATTGGTAAAAAAGGTGGTGAACTCACTCTGAAAATCAGTGTCTGGCTATGCAACATCCACACTTGGAAATAAGAGTGCAGTTCAGTCAGTCCAGATTTCCATGATGACCAGGGCAGATGTACAGCTACAGACAAATGAGAGGGGGGGGAAAAGGAAGGTCTCAAACTCAGTTTGTCTGGGGTAACTTTAGTGAAGGTAATAGAGCAATGTGAGTGTCACTGGCAGGGAGCTAAACTAAGCATAATGTTTTTTACACTGACTAAATACATTAACAGTGTCCTTCCTGTCAAAAAGAAATCAAAATATACTTTTTCCCACCAATATCTTCATTAAACTTCCATTTTTCTTAACCATTATTTTTATTGAAGGCTTTACTGCACAAATAATCCAGGGGGAACAGGAAATCACACAATGGTGCAGGTTGGGGAATTCTCTAAAAATACGTAACCATGGCACCCTTGTCATTACCAATCAAGTGTTCTTGATAAAAAGTAAAGTAATTAGCCTTTGAGAGGAGCATAAAGCTAATTAAAAATGACAACTTAGTCATCTCAACAAACAACAGCACAGAACCAGTCCAGAGTTCTAACTATAGCACAACGTGATAACCTGACCTGCCACAACCACTTGCCTTCAACCTCTTAAAAGAAACCACAGTTTGTAGAGTGAAACTTTGATAACCTCTTCCTTCATTGTAAAATTTAGATTAATCTCACCTCCCATCCAATATTTCTGTTTGTTCTCTGAGTTTCTTCATCTTTTTCTAAGACAGTTTTGCCCAACTATCAGAAATTTTTCAGAGTGAAATGATGGAAATTCGTGTAGTCTCCTAAAAGGAGATGACAAAATGTGAAGCATGAACATATGCATTGTCAAAAAAATTCACAAGCTGCAAATGAGTTGAGTCTCATAACAAAGTTGCTTGCTCAGAATGTATAAATAATAACCAGAAACAAAAAGAAACCACTGGTCTTTCACTTACAGAGCAACTGGGGTTCTGTCCTCTCACAGGTGGTAATGACAAGGTTTTAATTCACTTCTATGGAGCAAGAATGAATATTTCTTCATTTCTTGTCCTACAAAAATCCTTGAGGAGGACACGTTATCAGAAAATTATTACAATTACCACCATTTTTTCTTAGCAGGTGTATTTACTTCTGTTGCAGGTACTGAAGGAAATGAGTTGCTGTATTTTCATGGAATCATAGAATGACTAGGGTTGGAAGAAACCATGAAGATCATCAAGATCACCCCCTGCCTTGGGAAGGGGACACCTTCCACTGTCCCAGGCTGCTCCAAGCCCTGTCCAACCTGGCCTTGGACACTGCCAGAGGTCCAGGAGCAGCCACAGCTTCTCTGGGCCTCTCCACCCTCACAGGAAGGATTTTTTTGAATATCCCATCCATCCCTGCCCTCTTGCAGTGGAAGCCATTCCCCATTCCCTGTGTCCTGTCCCTCCATCCCTTGTTCCAAGTCTCTCTCCAGCTCTTCTGGAGCCCCTTCAGGCACTGTTTTTAAATCTTTCCCTTTTCAAATCACCAGATTCAACTAAATATTTCCTAACATAAACACACACACACACACACACATATATATATATATATATATAATTAAATACATTAACTACAGCCATCAACATGTGGCACTACATTCCTTAGAGCTGGGAGCTCATTCTCTTTAAGGATTAGAGTTCTGGAATCACAAAATCATTAAGGTTAGAAACAACCTCTGAGTTCATCAAGTCCAGCCATCACCATAACAATGCTGAAGTGCCCTAACCTAAAGTGTGTGCATACAACAGAGTCTCCGCAAAGTTTTGGCAAAGCTCCTAAGCTCATATTCACAAAATTAGATTTAAAAAGTATAAACCAGTACTGTGATGGGGCAAGCCCAAACACTGGCTCCTCAACAGGTCCTGCTGAGTGATGCTGATACTTCTTCACACTGACAGACTTTCCTCAAGCACGCAGGAAATAAAAATTTGATCCTCAAAACAAGGATTGACTGGAATAGGAAAATAGGTAGAAGAGATTATGGTTATGTTTTGAGTATCCCACACTAATCTTTCACTACAGTTTCAGTTCCTGCTTGCTGGGAAGGTCAGAACCGTGACTTAGAGAAGGCCTGAGGCTGCTGAGATGCAGCACATCAGAAGCACCCCATGAAACAGTGATTGCAATGCAATGCAAGCAGTGAAAACTTAAGCTCCTTTGACTTACAGTATATATGAATATATGAGAGGGTAAAATACTTACAGATGTGTATCTAGACCAAATAAAAAGGCCTTGTAGAGACAGGGAAATATGTATCTTGCGTTGCGCCGCTTGCAGTCCCAGGAAAGCTTGAAGCAGAAATAAAATGTTTGCTTATACTCTGAATAAACTCTGGATGAAAAGAAATTCTGAGCAGCCATGAACTAGATAAAGACCTTGATCCTGCTCTGTAATGCTTGGTAAGACACAGCTCAGGAAGGCCAGGAAGGTTTAGGAAGGAGAGTCCCCCTAAGCCTCCTCCACAGCCAGTGGAGAGAGGGATCATCCATCCCCGGCTGCTCCATTCCAATCCATGGATGCAGACCAACACATACAGGCTGAACATCTTAGGCTGGGATCCCAAATCTACAGATCTGCACCTCTCAGTAATTATTCACATGCCAAGTGTAACAACACTGGACAACCTTCCTGAGCTCTGTTTTACAAGTTTTTCATTGAAAACATTTTCGGGGTGAAATATTTCTTCCAGCTGAATTTTCTGTCGTGAATTCCATGAAATTTTGGGTTATTCCAGTTTGCTTTTTCAGTTCTTTAAAGTGTTTTCTCAAAGATTTTTGTAAAGGTCTGTGTCTAAAAAGTTTTAAAGGCCCTAAAGGAAATGCAGGTTCCTTTCATATGCTTACAGGACAAGCAGGTGTTCTGGTCTCAGACTCTTAGATGTTATGGGACATAAGGGAAGATAAGGAAGTGCTGCTTTTCTCTTCCTTTTCTGCTTTCCCCAAGCAAAAATTAAAGTTTTACAGGGATGAGGTAGTAATCTACAACACCTGCAAGGAGCAAGCATCAACTTGATCTTTTGACATGCCATTCCCTTGTGTAGGGATGGTGGAGATGAAAATGAGGTATTTTTCTTGCTAGGAAAGGAGAAAAGAGAGAAATCTCCACTCACTCTTGTATCTCTCCTTAGACCTACAGGCTCTAAACTTAATTCTGAGTTTAACCTGGACAGAGAAATGGAAAAAATACTCTATAAGGAACAGGACTATGCTGGCAGCAGAGTGGATTCAGTGACCTAACAGTTCTTTTTTCCAGCTCTGATTCCTTTGATACTATTTATAAAAATGGAAGAAAAATGATGGACCACTCCAAACAAATTGTTACCATAAACCAACAGCAAACAGCAGAATTGGCCCTTTAAGAGTTGTGTGGAGAGAGGGAGAGGACTAATAACTCACCTTTCCCGGTCCTGGGCTATGTTTATCTCCCATATTTATTTAAAAGCAAATCAAAATACTTTTAAACAAGACGGCTGGTTCCAAATTTAGGAACAATTGAACAAAGAGGAATCTGCTAATTCCAGATGGAGTGCATACAGTCCCTTGGCACTTATTACTTACCAAATGTTTCAGAAAGCAAACACATGACCTAAAAGATTTCGTGAGTGTGGGGTCCTCAAAAAGCTTTTAACAAGTCATGTATTTCCAACCATATTTACTTTACCCACACACAAAGCCCCTACTTAATTTTCCTTTCCATTATTTTTCCTTTTTCTTTTTAGGCAGACAATGCTGCCTTTAAAGACTATTTATGGATGATTCAGTTATCCCATCAGGGCAGGAGCTCTAAAGGTGTCTCCTTTGAAAGGCTTCAGCTGTGGAGCATCTGCTGCCTGCCAGGGCCACCTTCCCTGGCGGGTGCAGGTGTTTTGCTAAAGTGGGATCCTCCTGCCCAGCCCTGCAGGAAATGGGCACCCACAGATGGTTTCTTATCTCAAAGAGACGCAAAATATTTCTCTGTTGTGGGCTTTTTTTTTTTCCTTTTAAACCGGCTCCTTTTCACACCAAAGTTGTCCTACAACATCCTGCAAGCCACCATCGTGAGGCACCTCCAGGCAAATTAATTGAGGTGGGGTTTTTTTGTGTGCATTTCATATTCGTTGCTGAGGTGTTTTAAATTAATTTAATGGGAAAATTAGTCTAATGAATGCAACTCGGAATTTTTTAGGGAGTATTATATTCTGTTATTATAATTGTTTTCTCCCCAAATTAAATACTTCACGGGAAGAATAAAGTGGAAATTCGTGATTTTTGAGACAGTTTGATGAAAGTCAGTGATTTTTTACCAGCTCTCCCACCCCAGGAGAAGAGAGGTGGCAGTGACATTGCCATCTGTGTCTGTCCCAAGCCTCTGGAGCCACCAGCATGTGCAGGTCCTTGTAGTCCTTGTAGGCAAAAATCCCACCTGGGTGACTGCTTCAGGAGATCTTCACTAAACCCCTTCAGTCTGAGAGGGTAAAAAGGTTTCACTTCTGTTCTAGGTGACAATTTTCATGACACAGACTACAAAAACTTCAAGATTTCTGCTGTTCATGTATTTCTGCTGGAGGGATGAGCCGCGTCCTGCAAGAGGGGCAAAATCAAAGGCAGCAGAGAAAACTACTTAATAAACATTTAATTTTCTACTGAGGTATTTTTTTTTCTGTTCTTGCTTTCAACATTCTGACATGTCTTTTCTTAGAAATCAAGCCCCTTCCATGATTCTCAAAGTGAAAAAAATCTAAAGGCAGTTAGTTGTGACCATGACATTAAAAAGAGAAATAACTTTTCATGATAGTATGAACAGGTAGATGTAATTTAGTCTTGAGTTTTTGATGAGTTATACCTCTTCTCTTTAAGCTTTTTTATATTTTTTCTCCCCTCTAGCTCTTATTTTAATAACCTTCCTTCCAGTCATGCTGCAACCCTTTCCTTTGGGCTTCTATGGTTGTCATTTTTTCATAGCCACAGACTCAGCCCAGAAAGAAACTGAGGGCAAACGTTGTTATTCCAATTTAAGTAACTACAAGGTGAAATTTATCTGCTGACAAAGACTCTTTGTTCAGTAACTCTTCTCTGACTGTGTGCACTGTGATAGTCCCTAAAGTTTTCCTACTGCAAATCCTTAAGCTGCACCAGCAAACTCAGGCAAACACGTTATTTTACATTTTTAACTGAAATGCGTTTTGTTTTTATTTTAATGAATCCCCTAACTCCAAGTTTAATTAAACTCATGTTTTTTAATTAATTACCAACAAATGCAAATAAGGCAAACTACACAAACATGTATTCATCGTTCCCTGATAGATACGTGGGTGGGTTTTTTTAATCCTGAAGGGTCAGGATTTAAAAATCTCAAAGTCTTGAGGGTTACAACCCAAAAAATTCCTTTCATTTGGGGCTTTATGAGAATATTTTAGTAGTGTATGACAGGGAGCTCATCTGCTTAAGGGAGGAGAAAGCAAACTGCAGGTTCTTTAGCTATTACCCACATTATTCTTGCTAAACAACAGTGGCACTCAGCAGATTTAGGCCTGTGCATATATTACTATATGAAAGAAAAAAAAAGTAGAATACAAGAATTGCATAGAATCACAGTTATGTTCAACTTCCCTAAATGCTGACAAATGTGGATTAATGAAATGCCCTTTCTGGTTATTTAAGTGCAGCTAAACCAGAAATCCTAAATGAAACACATAAGAGTTCAAGCATCAAACTCAAATGCCCAAAGCCCAGGAACCCCAAATTTAAGACATGTAATATAATCATGCTTTAAAATTAGAAACTCTCTCCTGTGAGGA